GCGCTGCTCCAGCCAGCGCTCCAACCAGTGTGTCACCAAACTTGCACACCGACAATGAGGAGGGGCAACTGGCTCCTCCTGGAGATATAGCGGCCTGCTTGCCTCTTGGCGAGTGACTTCCTGAGGCAGCTGCACGATCAGTTTCTATTGATTTTACTCATCTAGGTAGGACCACTCCCCATGGTATGTGTCAGGTTATGGTTTGCGTGGACAGGTTCTTCAAGTATGCAGAATTCATCCCTTTGCCAGGAGAAGCCCGATTCCCTGTCGTTCAAGCGGCATTTGCTGACAGGTGGGTGACACACCATGGACCACCCACATCCATTGTCAGTGATCGAGATCCTCGATTTTGCAGCCATGAATGGCAATCCTATTGTAAGGAAGACCCTCATTCACGCTTGGATATGACATCTGGTCGTCATCCGGAAGCCAATGGACAGGCTGAAGTGATGAACCAGATTCTATTTCAGCTGCTGTGTCCTGTAATCTGCATTTGAGTCGTGCACAACTGGTGTACAACAAGTTTGTCCACTCCTCCACTGGTTTCACACCCTACAGGTTACAATGGGGCCGTGAACCTCGACAACCTCTCGATGACATCATCGACAAGGCTATCCCTACACTGACACCTGAAACCGCAGAGTTCACCAGGCGATATCGTGTGGATATAGAACGAGCCCGTGTCAACCTGCTGAAAGCCCAAAAGGCTATGATTCAGCAGGCTAACTGGCACCGCCTTCCTTCTATTATTCGCGCAGGTGGCTGGGTTTGGGTGCTCAGTTCTGAGCTATCATGTGAGGAGGATATTTCGCCTAAGTTGTTGCCGTGATACATGGGTCCATGGCAGGTTTTAGATATAGTACGGGCTGATCCTTTCGGACCGTCATACCCTGTTGCTGTCCCTCTGCATCTACAAACCTATCCGGTCTTCCATGCATCCAAGTTGTCGCCTTTTACCCCAACTGATGCACTTCCTGACAGACCCCCTCAATTCGATCCACCTATCCCTAGCAAGGGGTATGAAGTAGAATCGATTGAGGATGAGATGGGCACAGGTCCAAACATGCAATATCTTGTGAAGTTCCTGTACCAGCCTCACACTAAGGATCACTGGTTTACACGCAAGGAACTCCTCAAGACAGCAAAGTCCGATGTCCTAAAGTATGAGGCAGCTAAGAGGGGACAATACCCTCGACGCTCTGCACGCCTGCACTCCTAGCTCGGAGGCCCTCGCTCCGGCGGAGAGTAGGTCTGCAATGACTTGCTGATTCTGCACCCTGCGACCCGTCGACTCGAGGCTATAACATAGGTAGGTTATATTCGCAAATTTGTTTGGCTGAGGGCTAACCGAGATATCTGCTTGTGGGGAAAATTCATGAGGGACATATCTGTAATTCGGGAAAATTTCAGGCCCGCACTAACTTGAATTTCCTACAGCTACCCTAACTGCGAGTAGCAGACCAGGGCTACAATGGGACAGAAGGGCCTGCGGGCCTACACTGTTAGACTGGTCCTATACCCTATAGCCGGGTAGGGAGAGGCCCTGGAGGCCGAAACGGATACGGTACCAGTCGGTCCAGTCAGTCCGGTCTAGGTCGAGTCTAGGCTAGAGTAGGACTATAAATAGATTGTAGACGTCTGTTCAGGGCTTTTGGCAGTTGGTACCACGTACATGGTGGCTGAGTAACAAGTGAACTGGTGGTGGTACAGCTTCAGCATTGGAGGAGATGGACATAGCCGGACCTTCGAAGTGTCAGCCATAGCTGAGACGTGTTCTCTGACAGCACGCGGGGCTGTTCAGAGGTCTGGGCTATCTGAGGTCTGCTGGGAGCAGGAGAAGTTGGTGCCCTGCTGAACCCTCCTCAGGAGTAGCGTTTCGGGGTAGTGGCGTTGCAGCCATAACTGCAGCTTGGGTCCTCAGAGATTATCTTTGTCATGAGAGGTGGCGCTGTTAAAGATCTTCATCAGAGAGGCCTTCTGGCACCTCATCATCATCAGAAACTGTGGCGCTGGACTTTCTTCTTCATCCTCTTAGAAGTGCTTGGCCTCAGAGGCCTGTTTCAGGGTGGCGCTTCCCACTAGAGGCAGTATTTGGGTGGCGCTTGATGTTTCAAGGACTCTGAGGGTTGTAATAACGGTTACTCAGGGTTGGGGAAGCGCGCTGCTCATTTCTGAGCAGCGCACCATAGTTCTGAGGTTGTTCTGACAATATGAGACTTTGAGTTAATAAACAGTGTTAATACTGTGTGTGAACTATCTTTGCTTCATTGTTTCCTGGATGTGATCTACTCGACTTTCCTTTGTGACTGGTTGCGAGGATTCTGTGTAGCGAATTGCACTTTCAGTGTACTCTGTCATATCACATGGCTAAGTCTTCCGCTGTGTTTCTCTCTCACTGTACGGTGTGATACTCCCATCCTCTCCCCTTCCTTCTGTGTATGTATGGGCATACCTGGAAGTCTATGTGAGTGAGTGTTGGTCATCTGACAACAAGCAACCAGGTTCATAACACGTGCATACATATATGGACTCGTGGACGCATATATATACCAATACATATGGCTTGTGAATCATTACCATGCACGCTTCCATTCTATGGGCCGCAGTAATTCCACATGGTACATAACAGCTTCTCTCTAACACACACAACATGGTAAAATAGTCATAAAGATGGGCACACATGAAGAGACCTGGATGAACTCAGATTGTGACTGGCATGTACTTTCATGCTGTATGCAATTCGGTAAGCCAGTAATGTAGACCTGGAACATGGACAAACCTGCACTCAACCTTCACCAACCTTAACATAGTTGGATGAATGAACCTAGACGGACACGCGTCAACTCAGATAGTCCCTGTCATTTGCTTTAATGCACTCCTCATGTGGAACATGGATGAACCAGTAATGACGACCTGGAACACAGAGAAACCTGCACCCAAACCTGGATGGACAAACACTGACCATTCTGGGCCAACGTCAACCAACCGTAGCGAACATGGATCGTACATGTCGCACGATCACTATCGCTGTATCTAGACTGAAAGTCGAGGCAAATAGGGCTATAATGACCGTACATTCTATTCGGAGGAAGAAGTAGACGGATGAACCCCCCTAAGGGGCCCATGAGAACTCAGAGGGTGCCAGTTGTACAGTTTCATGTCTATCCGACACTGCCTGCCTGTGGTAGGTCAAGCAGGGATGGTATGGGTACGAACCCTACTGTTTTCACCCGAACCAGTCAGTATAGCTGAATATGGTGTAACTTTCAGTCTAGATACAGCGATTATAACCATGCGATCTATTTGGCTCAAGACGGAAGGATAGGGGGCATGCCGACGCGCTCATGGGCCCTGCACGTATCACACCTAGCATCCGACATGCCCCATGCAATGGGTCTCCTAAGTGCTTCAACAAGGGCTGGGTCCGCTTACCCAGCACTGGTGCCTATAATCGATGTCCGTGAGGGTTGTCCGCCGGATAGGTGGGGGAACGTTGTGAATGACGAAGCCCAAGTGCTAAGATGGAAGGAGCAAGTGGATCGCGAGGATAAATATCCAGGCAAAAAAATGAGAGGGGAAGGGCCTCCTGAAAAATTAAAAAAAACTATTGTTGGCCAATGCAAGGAGAAGATAGTACCAACAGGAAAGCAGAGCCTTCTGTCAACAAAAACGCAAGCAAGATGATGGAACAGCTCGCCCAAACAGAACATACAGTCATTATCGCCGTATCTAGGCTAAACGTTGCCCCAAATACAGCTAAAAAAACTGCACCTTCTACTTGGCTGAAGAAGGTAATAATAGTATGCCAACGGAAAGTTGCAGTGTAAAGTGAAGTTGGCAGGAAGTGATGAGCAGGAGTGAAACGGTTTTCACCTCTTAGCAATAGCAGATGCAGATCCCAAGGTTCGATCCCTAGACCTTGCCCTACCTGTGTACAGTACCTGTGTAGACCCCGAGAGTTGAACCCGCGGCCTGTGTATTTGTAACAGTTAGTAGTCTGTCGTAGGGTCCCAAAGGAAGCACGGGTTTGATCTGTAGATCTATAGAGTAGGAGTCTTAGTGAGTTCCAGAAGCCTAGCTGTAGTCCTAGAAGGTCAGCAAGTGGGCAAGTGGGCAAGTGGTGAGTCAAGTGGTGGACTAAACTGCAGTGCAATTGCAGTACGACTACGGTAGGTTAGCAGTGAGTCCACCCACGGTCAGTCAGCGGTAAGGTCCAGTCACTCCCAGTCCGGTCCAGCAAGTACCACGAGGGACTGTGAGCACCGCGGGCCGATGGAAAGGGGCAGACCACCGAGTTTCGAAAGTATAAATCAAGAGGCAGCGCCCAGCCATTCATTCATTCCTGCGTAAGCCATGCGGAAGTGCTGCCACAGCGACTTGTGCAAGGAGGTCTGCAGAGAGCCCGGAGCTGAAGTGGGCGAGAGAGAAGGAGCGTAGCTTAGCGATAGGGTAGAGGCAGCTATAGCTGCCATAGATGTAGTCTAGAGTGAAGTGTGTGTGTGTGTGTGAGTGTTCAGAGTGACGCGTGTGGGATATCCAGGGTGATCCGGGGTATGTGAACAGTGAGTTGTTTGGGCGCTGAGTCGCCATAGCCTATTGGAAGTGAACTCGTATCTGGATGCCATATCTCTGAGTTTTGAGTGGGCGCATGTCGCCAGTTTGCTGTGCTACTGTTTACATGCATGAAAAGTGTGAATGAGAACGAGTCTGATTGCAGGAACAACATACAACGTAGGAGTCTCAAGGAGACCCGTCCATAATATCACAAGTGTGAATATGAGACAAGGAGACCACTCAGAAAAAAAAAAAAAAGAAAAAAAGGGAACAAGGAAACCACTAGAAAGAAAGCCATAACACTACCTTCTTCACCTGAATACAACGTACTGGTCATTATTGCTGTATGTACTATATAGAGGATTTTAGACTGAAAGATACCCCAAATACAGCAATAATGACCATATGTTGTACTCCGGTGAAGAAGGTAGTAGAAGAAGATGCACCTTGAGTTTCTCATTCTGAGCTGTTAGGAGATGATTCGTCTGACGAAGTTTGTCTGAGGAGACATGTGCTGCACAAGCTTCCGTGCGCTGATGACTCAATTCCTCCAACCATCTGGTGACACTCAGAGAACACACAATTGCCACACACACATGGACATCAGAATATTGAAAGAGGGAAGCGATAAGGTACACAATTTACATTACTTTTCATTGTTGGTAAACAGGCTACGAGTTCAAGTCCTAATGGATACACTGGTGTTATGGGCTACTTGCCTTTGGAAAACAAAATAATACACCTGGATTTGCTCATTTACAAGGGCGGGAAGTGACAAGACCATCAACAGCTGAGCCTTTACCTCTCATAAGTAATCACAAGCACATCAAATTCCAACTCATTAAAAAAATAAAAAAAAATAAAAATCATGTAGAATGGGCGTTGTGGGTTCACCAGCTGAGATAGTCGGCCTGGGGGCTCGTCCCTTCCACCCCTCGCCGAGTGTTAGTGTCGCATGCCTAATCGGCATCGATCAGAACCGAGAACCGACCTCTCAGAGACAATACAACAATATCACAGCGGGAGACTGTAATACCAAGATCTGACTCAGCATGGACAATGACAGGACCTGACAGCATACATCGTCACTCAAAGAAAGAGGGAGAAGAGACGAAGGGGGGAAGAGGGAGATAGGGAGGATCAGCCACCATAGCCCGATGAACCCAGTCTCCAATGTATCCCCAAGGTCGCTGCTCATATCATGTCAAGTCTCAATGTCACTGAACTGAGCAATGCCCGAATGTCACCGACTCTCTGTCTCTCTCTCTCTCTCTCTCTCTCTCTCTCTCTCTCTCTCTCTCTCTCTCTCTCTCTCTCTCTCNCTCTCTCTCTCTCTCTCTCTCTCTCTCTCTCTCTCTCTCTCTCTCTCTCTCTCTCTCTCTCTCTCTCTCTCTCTCTCTCTCTCTCTCAGCAGAAGGAGAGGAAGAAGAAGAAGCCCTGGAGGGAACGAGGAAGGGCAATGGAGATCAGACAGAGAGACAGAAGAAGAAGAAGCAAGCCTCTCCCTCTCTCTCTCTCTCTCTCTCTCTCTCACACACACACACACACACACACTGCATTTATACCAGGTACTAACCTGCAGAAAGGTGCCGCCTTGATGCAGGCGCTGACATCCCGAAGACGAAGCTGGAGCTATGGCACGTAAGTCACAGGTAACTCCTCCTGGCCGTTGCCCATCTCTCACCCCCCCCCCCCCCCCCCCTTCTCTCTCTCTCTCTCTCTCTCTCGCTCGCTCGGCCGAGGCAGCGCTCCAACTCCTAGCTCCCGCCCAGCGCTGTAGACTACTCTAACTGCGCGCAGCGCGTCGACTACTGAAGACTACTCGCTACTGTCTCAGAACTACCTCTGAGAACTAGTCAGAACTACCTGCTGGACTGGGAGAGGGCCAGCTATATATAATGCTGGTCTGCCCGAAGTCCGGCTCCAACGCTGCCTGGTAACTGCTGCGTAACCAGGGCTGGAGCCAAAACGAAAATGAAACGAAATATGTCCCAACTGCAGACTGGCGCGTAAACTCAAACCTGGCACTGCCCGGTTACTGCTGTGTAACCAGGCCTGGCGTCGAAACGAAAACATGTGCCAACTGCAGACTGGCGCCTAAAAACCTGGCGCTGCCTAGTAACTGCTGCGTAACCAGACCCTAAAGTGGACCCTTAACAGCATGGGTCCTAACCCAGACCATGGACTGAAACGATAACTGCCCTAGACTACCCCCTAAGACCCCCTAGTGCTACTGCTGGGCCCTGCAGCAACCAGCGTGGGGACTGTGCATGCCACCCCCCCCCTTCCTTGAGAGACCGAGCTTACCGGCAAGGGCGAAGCTGTCGATCAGAGGGAGGGACCGAAGTCCAGATGGAAGGGGCAGCTTCCTTCGCTAGTCGTTGCTTCTCGTAGTTCGCATAGATGAGCGGTGCGGATGCTTAAGTCTGCTCGTGAAATCCATCGTGTGCCGTCGCGGTGTCGGAGGCCGAGGCATCAGTTCCAAGGGTTGCTAGTGGTCACCATCAGCAAAGAGCTGATGGGCTGGTTGGTTCCCTTGGCCCGAGTCAACGGACAAGACGACACGACGGTGCGGCCTCATGGAAGTCGAATCACGATCTTTGCGCTGAACCGCCGCGTCCACAGGGGCCAAGTTAGTAGGGCCAGGTCCAAACGGCATTGGAAACGGATCAAGGGTGAGTAGGAAAAGTGTAATTGACCACTTGGGACCGGACCGACGACATGGTTATTTGGCCTTGTCGGGAAGGGTACGGCCTGAAAAGGTTAAGGGAACACAGAATTGGGTCCTTACTATAGTTTAGAGGGGTCCGATTTAATTTTAGAACAGGGCCGACCCTTCGTATTCCAAGGTCGGGCCAGTCCCAGTCCCGCGCTATTTTTAGCGCAGGCCCGTGCTATCTTTAGCACGGGACTGGCTGTTTGTGTTTCAAAATAGGAGGGACTGTCCCAGTCCTGCTTTATATTTAGCCCACGCCAGTGCTAATTTTAGTGCAGGCCCACACTATTTTTACCGCAGGCCCACACTATTTTTAACTCGGGTCCGCGCTATTTTTTGCGCAAGCCTGTGCTATTTTAAGCACGGGACTGGCCGTTTGTGTCCCAAGGTCGGGACTGTCCCGGTCCTGCACTATTTTTAGCGCAGGCTTGTGCTAATTTTAGCTTGGGACTGGCTTTTCATATTCCAAGGTCGGGACTGGTGCTAATTTTAGAACAGGCCTGGTCTATTTTTAGCCCTGGCCCCGACCATGGGACTGCTGCACTAGGGCCCGATCACCCGGCCTCTCCACTATAAAAGAGAGGCCGTGGCACTCGAGAAGGACGGAATGCACGAACGCTGGTGAAGCAGCAAGAAAGGAGGGGACCAGACCTACGGCACTAGAGCAAGCAAAAGAGGGAGCAAGATCTAGGCCAGCAAGGAGGAGGTAAGGAAAGGGGGTGGGGGCTGCTTTGGGGGAACGTGCAGTGGTCCTAGTGTTCACTTGGACTGCGGCTCCTCTCGGTGATTTCTCCCCTGCCTCCTCTCCTTTCTCTCACTCATCTCGCCCCTTCCTCTCTTCCTCCCCCAGATCGCTTCGCCTGTTTTTGTCATTCTGGCTCATTACTTATTTTCGCGCACACCAGCTTAGTTCCTGCTCGCGTCCCCTTAATTCCTGCACGCGCCCAGGCACAACCTGGCTGTTATAGCACGCGCTGAGACTCAAACACCCGGTTTCAACGAAAGGCCAAACTCGTTTGGGATAGCTGTGTGCCCTGTGTACTGGCTGGTTCGTAGCTGCACGCTGCGATTGCTGGCTGGGTCGTAGCAGCCCACTTAGGACACTAGCTGTCAGCCTTGCATGCTATCTGCTGCGCGCCTTGTAGCTGCATGGCGCTGGTATCGGTAGTAAGTGCGCTCCCTCACCAATAATCCGCGCGCCTCCGTACGCCCCATTGCTCATCGGGATCCACACGCCTTTGTGCGCACCATTGCACATCGGGATCCAAGCGCCCCTGCGCCGCGAGCCTCCGTGCGCGCCATTGCTCACCGACATCCACGCGCCCTTGTGCGCGCCATTGCTCATCGGGATCCAAGTGCCCCTGCGGGCCATTGCTCATCGGGATCCACACGCCTCTGTGTGCGCCATTGCTCATCGGGCCATTGTTCATCGGGATCCAAGCGCCCCTGCGTGCCGTTGCTCATCGGGATCCGCACACCTCTGTGTGCGCCATTGCTCACCGGGATCCAAGCACCCCTGCGCGCCGTTGCTCATCGAGATCCACGTGTCCCTGCACGCCCCATTGCTTATCAAGATCCGTGCGCTTTTACATGCGCCATAACCGATCTGGACCCACCTCCTTTCTCGAACGTTGTTGCTCACAGGGGGATTTGCACACCTTCGCTAGCGATGTCGAAGATGGAGATTTTCCACCCTTATTCACGCCCTTACTGACAGAATGGTGATTGACTCATGAGTCAGGACTGCACTTGGGTTAGTACTAAGTGGCTTGTTGATTGGGGCTGTGTACTAGCATCCAATGGCTCGAAGATCCGGGCTACGCTCCAGCGCCATCACCTGCTGGCTCATACATTGGGAGTCCACCCATTGGGGCTGTGTACTAGCTGGCTCGTGGATTGGGGCCGTGCACTAGCGTTGATTGGCGCTCCACCTTCCGCCTGGGATTGCACACCTGCGAAGTATTTTGCTGGCTCACTGATTGGAACTCTAGCCACAGGCTGGGATTGCGCACCAGCACAGTGCTGGCCCGTTGATTGGGACTCTGGCCACAGACTGGGATTGCGCACCAGCGCAGTGTTTTGCTGGCTCGCTGATTGGAACTCTAGCCACAGGCTGGGATTGCGCACCCGGGCAGTGTTTGCTGGCTCGCTGATTAGAACTCTAGCCACAGGCTGGGATTGCGTACCAGCGCAGTGTTTGCTGGCCCGTCGATTGGGACTCTGGCCACAGGCTGGGACTGCGCACCTGCACAGTGTTTTGCCGGATCGCTGATTAGAACTCTAGACACAGGCTGGGATTGCGCACCAGCGCAGATTGATTGGTACTCTGCCCACCAGCACAGTGTTCGCTAGCCCGCTGATTGAGACCCTGACCGCAGTTGAGATTGGGCACTAGTGCAGTGTTCGCTGGCTCGTTAGTTGAGACCTCGCCTGACCACAGTTGAGATTGCACACTAGTGCAGTGTTCGCTTGCTCGTTAGTTGAGATCTGTGCTGTGCATTAGTTCGTAGAACGAGATCTGTGCGCTGAAGCCGATGCTCGCCAGTTGCTGATTTTATGATCCAGGGCTGTGTTCCCACTCAATGCGGTAATGCCAGACTTTGTTCACACTAAGAATGGTAATGCAGCATTGTGGACTGTATTCAGTGTTCACGCTCAGGATGGTAAATCCTAGACTGCGTTCAGTGTCCATGTTCAGAACGGTAATGCTGGACTGCGGTAATGTTGAACTGCGGTAATGTTGGGCTGCGGTAATGCTGGACTGTGGTAAATGCTGGACTATATTGCCGGACTATGTTCACACTCAGAACGGTATGCTGGACTGTGTTGCCGGACTATGTTC